GATTTGCTCGAGGACAGCGAAGAGGGGCCGGCGGAAGCCAGCGGCGAAACATGCCTGACCCGCCCAGTGCTGGAGGGCGCCGGCCTGCCATTGCTGCTCCGTTGCCAGCACCGCGGTTTTGACCACCAGGGCGTTGGCCTTCTCTGGCGCCAACTTCAACCACCCCTTGTCTCCCAGAAGCAGGCCCCCCAGGATGCCTGCGCGCAACTGCGCCACTAGGGATTTGGCCGGGTTCAGGGGGATTCCGTGTTTGGCGCACGCAGCGACGAAATGCTGATGCTCCATGGACTCCACGATTTGCAACTTGCACAAGCGAGATTGCGCTTTCCGAACAAAGTCGAATCCGTCGAGGCACACGATGCTGACGTCACCGTCTGGGAAGGCTCTGTCCCGCCGTAGTTCAGTGCGGGGGTCGGCGCCAACGACGTCGAAGACGAGCGTGCGGATGACTCGTTGCATGATGGAAACCGCAATCTTTGAACCCATGGCTACACTACGAATACCGACCCAAGCCATACGGTTGGGGTCGTCACCGAAAGCCGCGGCAGATACTTGCTTAGAGTACGCACAATATCCTAGCCATTCGTCCGGGAGGCGGAAGATATTGAAGCATCCTTTTTGGTCCTCGGCATCGTCCCAGAGCTCCTCGCCGTCTTCGAGAATGCACGCATTGAGCATGGTGGCCGTGGGCAGGGTGTGGTCGTCCCCCCGCAGCTTGCGCATGTAGGAGTTAATCGGCGTGAAGATCGATATGAAACGCAAGAGGGTGGGGCCAGGAACTGGCCCTTTGGGGTGCTTGTCAATCCCCATTGCGCCGTTGACGACTGGCCGGCCTGCGGAATCTCGGAAAACGAGCTCGTCCGGGACTTCTGCGAAGATGCCTCGGGCAGCCCCTTCTTTGACAATCTTGTACCATTCTGTGTCGGACGCCCAAACGCGCGACCTCGGGGGTTCCTCCGGCCATTGCTCCGGAGGGAGCAGGCACGATCTGGGGTCACGCACGTCGTCCAGCAGCTCTCCATCGAGGAACGACACCACGGGGACAGATGCAGCCTCGCCGCGCTCCGGCCAAGCAGGGGCAACTTTTTCGGCGACGAGCTCCCTCCGGACCGCCACGGCTTCTCCCGCGTAGTCCGTCTGGCGGGTGAAGAGGTCATGCTTGATGGCCGTTATGGACGGCAAGGGGCTTTCGCGGGACAAGAAATCCACTGCAGCTTCCCACAAGTGCTGGACGGAATGTCTTTGGGTGCTGGACAAATGGCCGGCACTGGCGCCAGGCTGGTCGTCGGGGCCCTCTGGGGCCCCGGCCCGCGCGCCCGTTCCGAAGAAGTTGAGGGACGTGACCATGCACCATACTGCCGCACGGCAGCGCGATGCGAACTTCGCGGCGTGTCCTGCTGCTACAGACAGGATCTCTGCGTGCTGCCGAGCAGCTGTGGCCGGAATCGGCAGAAGATCGCCACGGGGCTGGGTGCCCGAGGGCTGCGTGCCCGAGGGATGCTTGGGCTGCGTGCCCGACGATTGGTGGTCTAGAGGCTGAGTGCCCGAAGGAGGGTCGAGCGAGGCGACTCGTCCGAGCTTTGTTGGTAGGTACGGCATTGAATCTTCAAACAGTTCCCACACTTCACTGTTGCCGTCGAGATGGTGGAGCTCGTCCAGCAGCGTGCTCTGCCACGCAGACAACGGCGCGCCACTGCGCGCCGAGCAGGCGGTGGCGACGGCGGTTCGCACGGCCTTTTTGGCTTGGCTTTGACCGCGTCGAAGCAAAGGGGAAGGGGGAGGAGAGAGACGGGGAGGAGGGGCAGAGTGGAGGGAGGGGGCAGTGCGCTCGACAGTAACGCCTTCAGCGCTTGTCTGAATTCCAGTTCCTTTGCATGCCGGGGCATCAGCTTGGCCCGGGGGGCCCTTGGCACGCCTTCGCCGCGGCACGGCCCAACACCCGGAATCGACATCCAGGGCGGGCCGGGGCGGGGCCAGCGCGTGGCTCGCTACCGCCGCTTCCCCTTCGCTTTGGAGCTCCCCTTCGCTGAGGCCTTGCCGGAGTGCGCGGGGCCTTTCCCCTGAAAAGGGTTGCCCTTGCCAGCGTTCTGGCTCTCCTCCAGGCTGACCTCCCTGTGGCCGCTCCTTTGGCTGCCTTTGCCCTGGCCCCCTTGGGGCCGAAGCGCCAGCTGCTGCTGCGCCTTCGTCTCGCTGCGCATCATGTACTTCTCCTTCCTGCTGACGAGCGTGGCCGAGTCGTCCTTGACGAGTTCGAGGAAGCACGCGCGCTCCCACGACTGGTCCACCACCGACTGCTCGACGGCTTTCAGGTGCTGGACTATGAAATCCATTGCCTTGTCTGCTTTGTTCTGGACGAGGAGATCCAGGAGCTTGCACATGAGGGCCATGTCGTTGCGGTTGCGCTTGGACAGGTTGTACTTCACCTCGAGCACCCTGAGAAAGTAGGCCGACGCCGCCGCCGGAGGCTCCTTCTTGTGGTCGTCGCTGTCGCTGTTGGCCTCTCCCCCAGGAGTCACCCTCTGCGCCATGGTCCACATGGCGCTCCTGGACAGTCTCCCCGGGTGCTTGCGCGCGAAGCGCATAAGACGTTCCTGCGTGGACTTCTGTCGAACGCCTTCTGAGGTCGAGGCCACGTGAAAACCCATCTCGCACGAGTCGCTGCAGCTTGACTCGCTCCTGGGTTTACGCCGGCGGGGGCTGCGCGACCCCCGCGGGGCCCGCCTGCGGCGCGACCTGCTGCGGGGCGACGGGCCGCGGGGCTCCCTGCCCCGGTCGCCCGGCGAACCCCGTCGGCCCGAGGGAGCCGCGTCGGCGTCCTCCCGGGCTCGCGGTCGCCCGTCCCGCGGGGCGGGGGCCGCCTCACGGCGGCCCTGCGGCGCTCCGCCAGCGTCGTCGCGCTCGGCCGGCGAGCGCCCCCCCCGCGCCGCGGGGGCCGCGTCACGGCGGCCCCGCGGCCCCCCGCCAGCGTCGTCCTCGGCCTGCCTGCGCCCGCCCCGGGGCGCGGCGACCGCCTCACGGCGGCCGCGTGAACGGCTCGGGGGGCGCCGGTCGGCCCTCTGCTCCACCCGTTCCCCCCTGCCGCGGTCGCGGCCCTCGCCGGCCTCCAGCCGCGAGCGCAAGTCAGAGAGGCCTTCTCTGACGCTGCCGTGTCGGCGGTCGTCGTAGTCCCCCCTGGCCCACAGGGCGCCGTCCGGAGCTCAAGCGCCGCCCGCGCGCACAGAGCCAGGACCAGCCGCGTCGCCGTCGGGGCGCGTTGCCGGGGAGCCGGGGCGGGGCCGCACGGCCCCGGGCCCCTCCAGGGAACCACTGATCCTTTCAAGGATCTTCTTTTTCAGGCTTGGCTTAGAAGCCCACCCGATTTTATCTTCTTTTATGTCGTTCTGGCCGAGTGGCCGCCACGACTGGATGTGTATCTTATCCTGGTTCTGGTGACGTTTCCGGCACGCGTCCCCACTGAGGCCGCACACGTGGTAGATCTCTTCTTGAGACCTTTTGGAAAGCATCCACCATGCGTAGTAGTCGTCCTCGGCGGCAAGGAACTTCCCCCTGACGTTAACGCCCCCTGTCGGAGCGCAGTCGGCCCAAATGACCTCCAGGATGTATGCCCCTTGCGCCTCACCCTTGTCGTCGTAGGCGGCCGCCTCCAGCAGCCCGCCTCTCAGAACTTCCTCCAGGAGCTCCCCGTCCGCTAGGGTCCCTGCCTGGATCCATGGCCCGGCCATGCGGCCGGGAGAGACCGTTGCACCAACTCTCAATTCAGTAATCGACACGACAATTCAAAACTCAATTACCTCATGAGCCTCAAAGTGCTATGGCATGACAACTGCTGCATGCTTCACTGCTGATGCTACCTGCTCCCCCCTCCACGGCGGTCTTCGGCTAAGTGTGAATCACCGGGCCCCCTGCTCACACAAAAAGGCCCTATCATTACATGGGTTGCATTGCGATGTTCAATAGATCACGAATACTATTCATTATACATACAAAAGTAAGACGACCTAAGAATGGACAAACACCTTGGATGATGCTGTTTTTGTTGCTGCGTCCTGGGCTGGGCACGAAATTGCCCCGTCAGGATTTGCGACGCGAGAAGCTGCTTTGTTTGCAACATGTATCGCGCTGGCACGGGTTGTGGACAATGACGTTGGGCAGATGGAATGTTTGCGTTGGCGTTTTGTCTCGAAAGTTCATGTCGCAATCTGCTTTGGCCAGTGGCATACGCACACATCCGCCGCATCGAACCTATACGTTCATGAATGTTTCGGTCCTGAGGTGGACGACACGAGCCTCAATCATGTGTTTTGACCTTCAGTTCTGAATGAAACAGTGCAACGTCACGGGGTCTACGAACATGAAGAGCGTGGTCTGTGTGGTTTGTCCTCTTTTTTTTCTCTGCATGTCTGCAAACCCCGTTCCCGCCCCATGCAGCTCAATGCAACACCAAGCGGTGTGCCTAAGGCACGATAGCACCCACATGCCCGCGTCTGCTCTGAAAGGACACGGCTCGTAGGATGTCAGCCAAAGGACAGAGGCACGTGTCCGCCTGCACGCGTGACAGGACGACTCTATCATCATTGACCCCAGGTATGGGCCAGGTGACGATCAGAGCGCGCGGCTCGGCCACCGCCTGAGCCAGAAACCACACCTGGCCCAGCAAGGGCTGGCCCCCCTCAGGGTTCAACATATCAAAAGTCATTCGTGTGAACCGCTTCGAAATTGGAAACTCTTGCAGACTTCGCTGTCGAGCGAATCGACATCCGAGCCATGGGGGGGAGTCAATCCAGAGCAGATGAAAGGTGGAGGTGGAGGCGGAGGAGGACGAGGGCATCAGGCGATCGCTCGACACTGTCCGCATCACCGAGTCGAAGAGGAGGCGCAGGGAAGAGGAGGAGAGGAGGAGGAGGAGGAGGAGGAGGAGGAGGAGGAGGAGGAGGAGGAGGAGGAGGAGGAGGAGGAGGAGGAGGAGGAGGAGGAGGAGGAGGAATTCTTCTTCCCCGATCCTCGGTCATCAAGCCCGAGCTGCTCCCAGCGTCTTGTCGGAAGCGCGCCGCGAGCTCCTCGTCGGAGTACGTGCGGAAGTGCCCCCCCCCGGGCCCGCGCCTCGAGCCCACGCCCTCGAGGCCTGGCCCACCACCCGGCGGCACCTCCCTCGCGGGCAGCTTCGAGTGCCCCTGCGGGGGACGGACAATTGCTGCTCGCGCCTACCCTCCACTTGTTCCCGCTGCTGCTGCTGCTGCTGTTGTTGCTGCTGCTGCTGCTGCTGCGCTCCTCCTCCTCATCCTCCTCCTCCTCCTCCTCCTCCTGCTCCTCCTCTTCCTCTCCTCTCTTCCTCCTCTCCTCCTCCTCCTCCTCGTCCTCTCCTCCTCCTCCTCCTCCCCTCCTCTCCTCCCTCCTCTCCTCCTCCTCCTTCTCCTCCTCCTCCTCCTCTTCCTCCTCCTCCTCCTCCTCCTCCTCCTCCTCCTCCTCATCCTCTTCCTCATCTTCCTAGGAAGTCGCCGTACAAGAACCAAGGTGCTGCGCAAACGTGCGTCTCCTGAATCGCCGGCAGCGTCGCCCCCCTATCTCGCATGCTTGCCACTTGATGAATGATCGTGCGCTCAGAACCCTTTTTCCCCATGGAACACAGCCCCATCATGTGTAATCGCGCCTCGGCCAGCGCCGCGAAAGGATTCGCACTGCCACTGCAACTTGCCCCTACTCGGGAGCGGCCATGAGGGGGGTGTCCGAGAGGGGGGGTGCACATCATGACCGGCGCCACGTGCGCGGCCCAGCGGGGGGGCCAGAGACGTAATGAAATAAGAAGAGGCGCCATGAAATCTGGGGAAATATCATGGCCCCCGCCATGATATCCACACCCCCCTAGTCATCGCCCCCCTCGTTGCCGCCCCCGACCTACACGCGACAGCGCCAAGCAAGCCTGACGCCCGCGGTTCCCCATGAAGAGCGCCGCCGAGGACGTGTGCAACAGGAGCGAGAAGCAAAGCGGAGGAGGGCGCGGGGCTGGAAAACGAGCCCACGCCGTCGTGGGCGGGAGCCCCATGGCCCAGCCGGCCTTTTCTGTAGCCCACACAACGGCAGCCAGGAGAGGAGGAGGCGGAGGAGCGAAGCGAAGAACATTTTTCTCTCCAGTAAACAACGAGCCCTGAGCGATTGGCACCGAACCGTGAGACGGAGCACCTCTGGACAAGCCGATAACGCCACACGCGATGTCAAGCGAGGAGGAGACACACAGAGCAGAGATAAGAGGCGCCGTGCACTCAGAGTCCAGCCGGATTCCGTCTGCGTTCTGTGTGGCCACGGCCGTGAGACTGGCTGGGCGCTTCGGCCGGGGATCCTTGCAGTGTCCTGGTTCCCCCCTTTGCGGCGCGAGCTCGGGCGGATAATCTTGAACAACTGCTTGGCTATAATCGGCTGGCGGCTGGCCACTGCAGCGGAGAGGAAGTCTGAAAAGAGATACGTCGCGAGAAAAACAAGGCTGTTGTGAGACGGATTGTGAAACACCTGGCCTCCGACATCGTGCGAAGCTTCATCCGTCCAGTTTTCACAATCAACACTGGAGCCAAGGTAAATCGAGCCAA